TGTGTTTTGTTTCTTTCACACACGTTTGAGTAATCCTGGATTATTAGGCTGTCTCCAAACCTCAAAAAGCTCTGTTCCTTCTAGCTTTAGTTCAGTAGAGATCGGCAATTCTAGGCATGGATCTATTAAAATAACTGGATAGGGTATTGCTGGTTTGTAGTTGTCTCCAGTTGACGTAGGGGACACTCACTGGTGCTTCAGTGAAAAAATCCCTCTGGTCGAGATGTACCATATTTTCCGGGCTATTAGGCGCTCTGGATTATAAGGCGCACTGTCATTAAATGGTCTATTTTCAAACTTTTCCAACAAATAAACCGCACCGGACTTTAAACGAAACACAACAGTTGGATGGGTCAGTGGGACTTTGTTTGGCGCGTTCACGGTGACTCTGGGCTTTGTTCAGTTGTGGCGTGTAGGGAGGGTGCTGTCTGGGACCGCTGGATTGTCAGTGTGTTCGCAGTGACTCAGTTGTTCCGTTGTGGCTAGAAGTGGCACATTGCGCTGAGTTTTTCGGTTCATTCCTCCGTTCCATTGCTCATCCACGTGGAGAGATGAGGGACACCCGAGTGGATTTGCGTATAGGGCGCTCTGGATTGCGGGGTGCACAGTCATTTTTTGATGGGGTTGGAGGCTTTTGAGCACGCCCTATGGTGTGGAAAATACGGTAATCGCAAACTGCTCGTGTTCAGCTAACAGGGCACCTACAACTTTCAAAAATATCAGATTTTGTGGCGATTTTTACCTATTTTTAGATCATAAACTTTTTCTCAGCTCAGAATCCTTCAGTTGTTTTAAAAAACGGTCCAATGAGGTTCATTTGGTCTTTGGATATTTTATGTTATTAGGTTCTTTTTTCAGACCAAGATTTTGTTTTCATACCTGACAGTTTCAACTAGTGGTCTTCCTCAGAGTGGTGGTAGTGAGCAGTCGAAACTATCAGGTATGAAAACAAAAAAAAAACTAAAAACCTAATAACATGTCTTAAAAAAAAGTTTTATAATCGTTAGTTCCGGCTCCGCTCTAGCTCCTCTCTCTCGGATTGGTCAAAACGATCATGTGATACATACACCAGACTGCGCTCCGGGTGTGTGCCCGCCGGAGAAAAGAGCACTACTGCGCGTACTTAATCGTCCTGGAGCCACTTCACCGGGCTAAAGGTGAATCTGGAGTCATGTGTCATTGAGTTCAGCCCATTGATTTGAATAGACGGCCATTTAGAAACCCCGGGGCTTGATTCTAGGGCTGAAATCATCCAAATGATTCTAGTGAAGGTGTATGGGGTTTAAAAACACTTGGAGCACTTCATGTATGATCACATGACATCACAAGGTAGAATGAGGTGTTTTCTGTTTGAAAGACGTACTCAGCCTAAATATGCAGGGTTTGTGTGTTAAACGTGTGAATGAAACACTTTCGATTAGGAAAGTGTAATATGGGCCCTTCAAAATAAATCTTCTGTGTACAAGCTGCATCTTACTATAAATCGTTTTATTATCCGAGTATCAAGAAGTGCACAGCTAGTATCCTAATTGTTCTTAGCTTGACTCTGGTCTCTGAAAGTTGTGAAAAGTCCTGAGAATAATTAAAATGTTTCTAATGTATGAGGTAAGTGAGGAATTTTCATGTTTTTAAGACAGTAAAAATCAGGTACAGTGCCTTTTAAGTGCAAAATGAATACAACATTTGAGAACATGTGTACGAGTTGGACAGCTGTATACAAAATCCAACACCATATTGTTTCTTACAAAGGACAAAATAATTGCGTTCTTTGCGTTTTGTTAATTGTGATTTCAATTCTCCAGCAATTCATCTTATAGCCTTGTAGTATGGACCAATTTCAAGAGCAAAAGTGTGTATTTTGTTCCTGTAAATACGTCCAATTAAAAAGAGTGTGTGTGCGGGTGCTTTTATGTGTGTGCAGTGTGCTAGAAACCCTGTGTATCTCTGAAGCCCCATTATGCGGCGCAGGCAGCTGGAAGGGAATTTGTGCAAGTAATAGCTTTGCCTGGGCAATATAATTAGTCAAATGCTGATTTCAAGACAACTCCCCGAGAAACGGTGCCACCAAGGCTAAATATCACCTTCACAAGTGGTGCTTATCTCTGTGTGTGGGCAGAGCCTGTGTCCTGCTGCCCGGCTGCACACTGAGCCTGGACATTTTAATGACGAAACTGGACCAAAGGAGTGTATGTGGGTGCTGCTGGGCTTGTGGGTACTGTTCTGTCTGGATATATTTGGTGTATGATGGGGAGGGATGTCACTATATCAAATTTTGAGTGTTACCATGATATTACAAAGATATTATGATTGATGCCAATACCATTAATAAACAACAGTGGAATGTTTTTATGTGTGTTATGTTATTATTTCTCTGGTATACACGAACAGTTTTATTAAATAAAAGTTTTAAATGGAAAAGTAAAGTTAACGTTTCTTAAATGTCAGATAAAAGCACTTTACTTTTGTTTTACTTTTTTTTAGAGTAAAGAGATACTTTCTTTTGCTTCCGAAATTGTCTAATTTTGCCTGATAAAGGCCAGGCCCAGGGGCTGTTTTGTAAATAAATCACTGGTGCTGAAAGCGTGTTAGAGATTTCTTATTTTCTTGCGTGTGGAGAGCTGTGCACGCGCCCTCTCTATGCACCTGTCCTGGAGCAAGAAGTGCAAAATTTCCTTTTTGTGCTGCTTCTAAATTATCACAATTATTATCTTTTGGTTATTATGATTATAATATAATCAGTTACTGAATAATCCAGAAATCAGAACTTGCCCTTTGAGAATGTTTTCTTACTCATCGAGTCTTGTTTATTTAGTCTTGAGACTGCTTAGTTCACATTGCGTTGCACATTTGTTACATTCTCTTGTTGTCCTACAATAAGCAGCATATTTCTAGCCTGATTCATGAGGCGGTTTCACTCCTGACCGTCTGCATTAGGATTTGTTTGATCGATGGCAGGCGGGTACTTTTTTTTATTTAACCAGTCGCTGCTATTTGATTGTGGTGTATGTAATGCGCCGCTAACGGGGTATATTAAGCTTTTCCCAAGTCCTGTAGGAAGAAGGGCAATAACGTCTTTCCCCTTGATAAAACTCACCAAACATTCTCTTTGTTCCGGCTTTAAATCCTCGATCTCGGGAATCGTTGCCAACACAGAATGTATGGCTCTTCGCTGATTGGCTGGTGCCCGGACTCGCACTTCATGGTTCTTGCAAAAGGTCCAGTGTATTCCGATTCCTGTCCTAATCGCTGGAGAGAAATGAAATTGAGTGGAGGCACTAGGTGACACCAGCCTGGCTAGTATATTTCTACACTTCATGCTGAATGTGTTTACTGTCCATAGAAAAATTAGACAAGAAGGTTGCTTTTATCTGAAATGGAGATGTAATTTTTTTGCCTGGAATGTTCCATAGTATGACTTTTAACATATCCATCTTCCGTTTATTCATTACAGGTGTTTCTATTACTCAAAAATACAATAATTCCTTGTGCGAACAGGAGCGACCCTCCACAGATCTAAATTGTAATGTAGTGTAGTTACTGTAACACACTTGTCTCCTTTGTGATAGATTAATCCTGACTGTTTGTGGAATATTCTAGACAAAGCGATAACAGAAAGTGGCGGACTAGAAATGTTACGCAGTTCACCTTTAAGTTTAGCTGTTAGAAAATAAAAAGTCAGCCTCTAAGAAAGGTTTAAATTGTTTCAAGGATTGTATCGCATGTGTGTCTGTCAAGGCTTCAGAGCTTCTTCCCAAAAATGGTAATGACGTTTGGCTTCATAAACTCTTAAGGCTTTATGTAATATTAATAAGGCCTTGTAACTTTAAATCTATTCTTGCACTGGGATCCAATATGCAGGAGTGAAATGTTTCGGGGCAGTTTTTCTTGAGCAGCGTCTCCTCTGTTGTCACCGTTCACAAATAATCTGCCACGGCGAGGAGCGCACCCCCCACGCCGCCATGTCTGTCAAATCTGCTCCCTTTGTGTTGACTTCACTTCCTGCTGCTAAATCCCCGTCAAATCTAGTGTGTTTGTTTTTTTTCTTGGTAATCTTCATTAAAGGGCCCAGATTACCCTATTTTCTGATCTACTGTATGTCATAATGTTGTTTCCTCATCGCAAACAGACCTGGAGTTGTGTTGTTTCATTCACACATGTTTAACACACAAACTCTGCATATTTAGTTTTTCTCTCAAACAGAAAACACTTCAACGTTCCACCTTGTGATCACATCATGTGGTAGTGATCAACTATGTTTTTAAACTCCGCACCTTCGCTAGTATCATTTGGATAATTTCAACTCTGGAATTGCCCATTTCTACTGAACTAAAGGCTAAAGAAGTGTTTAACTTGAAAACTACTACTACACTGAGGGCTGCTTGATTATGGAAAAAAATCCTTACCACGATTATTTTGGTCAATATTGAAATCAAGATTATTCAAATGATAATTTTTTTTTAGTTACAAGATGTATTTCTTTCACATTTCTCTCTCAAAAAAACAACAACAAACAAACAAAACACTTTCTTATTGATAATGTGCACAGTACTTTCAAATTGAAAATAAATATAGGCTACAAATCTGTGCCTTAGAGCAGTTTTGCGATGTATAACACAAAAAAATATGAATAAAATATCGTTTGAACATGAAATAAGGCACAGAAAAACATAAATGTATCCAAAATAAACTATATATCCAGCTGTTCTACAATCTCTATATTTAAAAAATAAACTAAATATACTTATTTATGTAAAAAAAAAAAAAATCCTAAATCTTTAGTTCAGCTCGATTATATGAGTTTGGAGATCGTTTGACACACAAACTGAAATCGCAATAAAAATATGATCAATTGCACAGCCTTCACTACACTAGTATGATGTCACAAGGTGGAACAGAGCATTTTGCGCTTTGGAGACAGTCTGGCTTAAACCTCACAAGAATCATTTTTGTGTAACATAGGACCTTTTATTTAAGTTTTTCTCCCTTTTATTCCCACGCAGGAGCTCCAGTTTGAGCGGCTGACTCGGGAGCTGGAGGTAGAGAGGCAGATTGTGGCAAATCAGTTGGAAAGATGCCGACTCGGGGCCGAATCACCAGGCGCAGCGAGCAGCAGGTAATGAGGACGCTCCCTCCACTGGCCCCACTCGCACACCACATGGCGCCTCCATCCCACACGCCTATGGACAGACTCTATAGGATTAAGCTTATGGTGTATAGGCCTGTCACCAAAATTACTTTACTGACTTATTGTTCAATATGTGCGAGATGAACTATGTTTTTCAGGCTCTTTATACACTGCTTGTACCTTTTCTTCGCACTAGTGGAGAGATTTTTCTTAATTTTACGTTGTATTAGACTTATAAAATGACATTTGAGTTGTAGCTGATCCAATATTGACTGAATTTCCTTTGGGATCTAAATGCGATACTTTTATAAACTTAAAACATTACTAGAACTACCTACTTAAGTGCTTCATTGTACTATTTATGTACTCCTGGCCTCATTATGTGTAATATGATTCACTTAGCAAAGGGTTTATTGTGATTATCCTGCTTAAATTTAGACTTAACTTCCCTTGTGGATCAATAATTTGGATACAGTAGCTCACGGCATATTATAATAAAGAGGAGAAACATAAAGATTGTAAAATAAATTCTATATAAGTAGTAGAAATGGCAAGAGACTGGTGTCAATAAAAGGATAATTATATAAAAGTATACGTACAAGTAAAAATATATCTCAGTGCTTTAAGGTTATTGTGAAAGGAGTATAAATTTATTTCAGTATTATCGTTCATCGTGATATTTTCGGAATCAATACATGTACAGAACAGATGTAATGGTATATAATGGAACAGGTCGACCCGCAGTGTTCAGATTGGACAATAAATAAAAGGCTGTGTACAGTAGAGATTCACCGATATGTGTTTTTCATGGTCCACGTGATACAGATTGCTTAGAATCCAGACAAAAAGATGGCCAATTTTAGACTTTATTGATCCACAAGGGAAATTACTTGGACACAGTAGCTCACACATCACAATATATTACAATAACACAGAGTAAAAAGTATTTAAAAATGGTAATAAACTTCTAAATAAGCAAGAGACTGGTGTCAATAAGACAAATTATATAAATGTATGTACAGTAAGTAGACAACAAATATCGTAATTTAAATACAGTATATCACAGTTTTAGTTAAGTTAAGAGGTCGTAAGGAAACAGTGCAAAGATGATGTGATGATTGACAGAAACGTAGACTTATCTGTTACACAAGGGTGAGTTTAAGGCTGTGCAATTAATCGAATTTTGATCATGATTTCGATTTGTGTGTCGAGCGATCTCCAAACTCATATAATCAAGTTGAAACGATTTGAAGCTTAACAAAGGGATATTTAGTTCATTTTGGATACATTTATGTTTTTCTATGCCTTCGTTCATGTTCAAAGTATATTTTATTCATTTTATGTCACATTTTTATATCGCAAAACTGCTCTACGGTACAGATTTGTAGCCTATATTTGTTGTCAATTTGAAAGTTTTGCGTAAATTATCAATAACAAAGCGTTTTTTTGAGAGAGAAATGTTGAATAAATGCATTGTGTAACTAAAAAAATTATCGTTTGAATAGTCATGATTTCAATATTGACCAAAATAATCGTGCTAATGATTTTTTCCATAATCAAGCAGGTCTTGATGAGTTGTACATCAGTATGGAGTATGGTATGAATGTACAATTTTGCAGTATTTTCCCCAAATTATGTTATTTTTACTTACTACTACAAACCTATAAGTGAGCTGTAATTACATTTTGTTAGACCTTACAAGCTTTATTGATCCACAAAGGAAATTATTTGGACACAGTAGCTCACGCATCACAATATATTGTAATAACGCAGAGAAAAAGTATAAATGGTAATAATTTAAGTGTTAAAATAAGGGTTTATGTATACCTTTTAGGCGCAGATCAGCCAAAAACAAGATATCATGCTGGGGATTTAATGCTAAAAAATGCAAATATTGTCCATTCAGTATATTGTTCTATCTCCAATGTTTAGATGAGCTTAAATCTAATGATTTTCAGTGGTGTTTTGACGGTGCTAGATGCAAGAAGTTTGAGTAAATTAGCAGTTGTTGGATTGGCAATGTGGTAAAATACAGTACGGTAGAAACTTTTTAACAAGACTGCAAAACGGAGGCAATTAAAAATACAAGAAACTGAAATCTCCATTGTAATAAGTTTTGTTGTTCATCTTAATGTCTGTTCACTTTTCGTGGAAAATTTGAAACTGAACCAAAGCACATTTTTGCACATTTGTGATGGATGGCCAAATATTATCTGAAAATTGTTCTTGGAAAAACAAAATATATCATTGTAATATATCACTGTGAAGTATTTGTATTAATAAAACAATAATATAACTTTTTAAGAATTCACCTCGGATTTAAAGGTGCACTGTAACTTTCCGGGTGGATGCTCTGTTACCATGGAGATGATGTTACTTTGCCTGTTTTTTGCCTGATATTAAACTTATCTATTTCCATGGAAACGAGCACCAAGCCAAGTTCCAGGTCTAATTTGTGGAGACGTGGACCCGCTTACAGTAGAATGCATAATTTTCAAGGTATTTTACTGTTAAAAGCACCTATAATTAAATAAAAATCAAGTTTAATGCCATGCTGTGGTACATTCAAGGGAAAACCAGTCTTCATCGACACAACCAGATGCATCCAGCAGAAAAGTTACACCGTAGGGATGTGATAATAACCAAAATATCGTGATATCGTATCGTCAAAAGTCTCACAATACTATCGAGAGCTGTCACAATATATCGAATTACAAGTTCCTTTGCTTAAATGCATGGTGTTACCGTAGCAACAGCTTATGAACATTGGAAACTGCATATCCCATGATTCATTTCAGTGCAAACAACATGAAGAAATATGTTTTTTGCTAGAATTCTTGGGATTATGACGGAAATAATTCACCCCAATATGTTGTCAAGGTATTTTAAAAGCAGAAATATGTCCTATCTTTAATTATATCAGCCTCTCCAAAATATCGCAATAAATATCGTACCGTGAGATGCACATCGTGATACGGAGAGATTTGGATATCGTTACATCCCTGTTACATAGTGTAATTTTTTAAAAGCTGCTTAATTTTTAATCCGTACTTAGAAGTGGTGCATAACTTTTCTGGTGGAGGATCCATTAATTGTTTCTTTCCATGGAGACGTTATTGCTTTGTCTGGAATGCTTCACAGTATGGCATTAAACCTTTCTATCATCATGGAGACCAACCCAGACCATAGTTACAGGTCATATCTGTGGAAAGGCAAGCCAGTTCACAGTCAAAATGCCAGTTTTTCTTGGTATTTTTGAGCTACAAAACCAACTGTAATTTAATAAGTACAAGATAGTGCTGTTTAATGTCATATTATGGAACATTTCAAACAGACGAGTGACGTTTTTCTAGGACTTTTTGAGCAATTCAGCCACCTGTAATTGAATAAGTGTAAGTTAGATTTGTTTATTGTCATATTGTGGAACAATGGAAGCTGAGCAATGACATATCCATAGAAACAAGAAGGTGACTGAAACCGAAAAGTTACATAGTGCACCTTTAATAGGGAGTTATACAGCCAATCTTAAGGAAAAAAAGAGAGAGATTAGAATTTGAAGTAGGGAATTTGACCATTTTGTGTTAAATTGTTCTCGTTAAAAGTCTGCATTGCTTATGTACAGGAAAGTAACATTGACATTTGTTTTTAATAAGATAAAATAAACCTGACTAACCAAAAAGTCACATAGTGCACCTTTAAGTCCTCAACCAAGCACCACCATATTGAAGTTCCAGTCATTCTGAGCTGAGCCCCTTTTCCATCTGAAGCCGCGACGGTGCAGTGTCTTCTGCTCGGTGAAGTATGTCTGTGTGTGAGTGTGTGCTCTACTCACCTCAATGATCCCCTCTGTCTCTCTCGGCTCGATACAGACAGTCTGACCCGGCCACGTCGATAAAGCACTGGCAGCTGTTATGGCATCAAATGGGATTATCAATATAAAGAATTATCGAGCATTTTCTCTTTTCTGCGTGTAAAAAAAAAGTCATAATGTCTTTTATTTAATCAAAATGTCAATAAAAGTAAATTGAGCCAAGTTAGAAAGTACTGACCCTGTCCCAACGCTCAACCAGGTCTGAAATTTGACTTAAAGGTGCACTGCGTAACTTTTCTGGTGGATGGTCTGCTACCTGCTTGTCTCCATAGTATTTCTTCAGCTGGAATGTTACACAGTTTGGCATTAAACTGATCTATTTTGCATCATATTCTTTAATTGTTCACAAATACCTTGGAAAACTTGCATTCTTATTATGAGAATGCTCGCTGCTCCACAGATCTGACCTGGATATCTGCCTGATCTCCTTAAAGATGGAAAAGTTGAATTCCATACTGTTGAACATTGCGGGTGAAGCGATGTGACAAGCATGTGGCCTGAAAAGTTACATGGTGAAGCTTTAAGAGAAAAAAAAACAGGAGCTAAACAGTCCTTGAAAACGTATCTGAACAAACCCTTTATTTTGATTTAATTTTATTTTTGTAAGTCTGGTATCAATAAATGTAGTAGGGTTGTATAAAAATGAGTTTTGCAGTCGCTCAGTCGACTAAAATTTATAATCGAACATTACGTTACTCTGTGATCTGCAAAATACACCAACTGCATGTGAGTGTGTGCAGAAATTGCTATTTAGACATTAAAGTACTAGGAAAAGGTGTACTTATATGGAAAGGCAGACTAAACACAGGATTCACTCCCAAATCTTCCACTAACCCAATCCCTACCTTCTTCCTTTCTTCTGTTGTGTATGTAAAACCTTAAAAACTAATCAGCTAATAAAATTTTGTTTAACTAAGGTACAGTAATCAGCTGGAAAGTCCCCCTAGGCTGGAAAGTCCCCCTGAATTGTACGCTTTATGAAACTAAGTTAGTTCATCTATATACATATAAAAAACAAAAACAACAACATTTTTTTCATTATATGTATTGTATTAATTACACACACAAGTCTGAGTGTTTTTTGAACAAATTCTGAAGCTTTCAAAGTTTCTTGTGT